CAGGTGTCCCTGTGATGGACTGGAGACCTGTCCAGGTGTCCCTGTGAGGGACTGGAGACCTGTCCAGGTGTCCCTGTGATGGGCTGGAGACCTGTCCAGGTGTCCCTGTGAGGGACAGGAGACCTGTCCAGGTGTCCCTGTGAGGGACTGGAGACCTGTCCAGGTGTCCCTGTGAGGGACTGGAGACCTGTCCAGGTGTCCCTGTGAGGGACTGGAGACCTGTCCAGGTGTCCTTGTGATGGGCTGTAGACCTGAGTAAAGATAATGGATGGATAGATGCTAAAGCTGTTGCCAGTGGCTTATGGTCACCATGGTAACCACACATGTCTGTCACTCCCTGGCTGGCATTCTAATAAAGATTGAGCTGAAAATAAACCTCATTACAATCTACTTAATTTTTCTCTAAAATCCTTGAACTGTAAAAGGCATGAAGTTTATGATTCAAGTGTTTTTTGTGAGAGAAATGACAAAAATGTACTCTTCACTTCCTGTTTAGAAGAATGATTTGAGTGAAAACCACAAATCAAATATCAGTGAGGGACATGCTGAGCAAGAAGAGAAATGTATGTTTGCTTCAATTCGTTTCTATAGCAACAATCACAACAAAGTTGTGTCAGGGCACTGAACACAAACATTCACATACACAGAGAAGCAGTTAGTAAAGTTTATCTATGTTGTAATTTGTAGACACGTTGTGGGAGTCACAGTGTGTTTACAAAAGATTACACAATCTTATAGTACAAATATTAATATGACATTTTCAACTGTCCCTCGAATATTCTGTGAAAAATATGTCAAAAATACACCCAAAACTGTGACTCCACAACAAATGTCAGTTTATTGAACAAAAGTCAAACTTTGTGTTTAAAAGTTTCACTTTGTTTGAAATCTGCTTGAGTCAAAGAGCTTCTCCCAAATCCCATTAATCCCAGTTATTTCTTCATGGGTTCGTTGTTTCTCCATGTGGGCGACCAAAAGTCATGGCAAACTATTCGAGACACACAGGTTGTTGTTTACTTTTATTTATTTATTCATGTATTTATTATTTTGATTCAATGCTTATTTATTTTTTATTGGCACCCTTAGTTATAAAACACTAATTTACCATTTAAGTGCCATTTAAGTTTAAAACTGGTATATTCATCAAATGTCCAACATGTTCTCTTTTGTGCTTTAGGGCGTTTGTTTCGTGCTGATAAATTATTTAGTTTTGAATGAAATGAGATTAATTTTGAAATGTTGTCTTTATTTGCACGAACAGAACAGCAGCTCCTTGAAATTCCTTCAAAGTTTAATAGAAGATTCTGAACTCGTCACAGAGACATTAAAAGAATAAATGTCCCTGCAGAGACATTTTCCCAGAGGCGCCGCCGCGCCCTGTGGAACTCCCTGCGGTCAGGGTGGTGCCCTCCTCCTCCTCCTCCTCCTCCTCCTCCTCCTCCTCCTCCTCCTCCTCCCGAGCCTCGGGGTGGAGCAGCAGCCGGAACAGGGAGAGAAGCGGTTCTGCTGTTTTTGTTCGGGCTGAATGATCTGATCACGTATTAACCAGCAGCGATGCGGGTCAGTGCGCGCGGGGCCGCGCACGGCTTCATCATTAAACTCAACGGCATTTCAAGGCGGTTCGGTCAACCCACAAGTTCCTGCTGGAGCTGCAGGGCTCTTAAAGCGAGCAGAGGGTTCTGGTATCTTTGGGTTAATCTGGGTACATTTCGCGCAGTTATCCAATAAAACGGATCTTTCATTTGTTTACTCTAAATGTAACTTTGAAATGATTTACAAGTTTTAGATTCTCCAGCAGCACGTGTCCACAGATCACCCAGAACCCGCCGCCATCTTTAGGAGCCTTTAACTCTAAACACCTAATCAACAACTTGTTTTACCTCATAATTCCTGTCGGTAATGATTTTCTAACGCAGCAAGGAGCGCGTTACAGGGATAATTGTTAACCCGGTGCGCGCGCACTGCAGCGTCTCCAAAAAAAAAAAAAACGAGCTGCAGGAGACATGTCCTCACCCTGCACAGGACAAACCGAGCT